TGTAAGAAATGAAAGTCTTGAGTGGCTTGTTACAGATAGAGAGGGACAGAGACACACACACATATATAGAGAGAGAAACACACATGTACACATGCTCATCTGTGCCAAAGCAAAAAGTTGGAAATGAAGTAGGAACCATCATCAGAATAGGTATTTAGTAGTGGTGAAAAGAGGTCAACCTCTAGAACTCTACTTGGCTTGAGATGGCTAATCCAGTATGTTGTGGCTGAAGAAAATACTGGGTCTTTAACATCTACAGATGTGAAGAAATTATCAGGATAATAACTACAGATTTATATCAGTGCTATTAGAGATTTGTGGTTCTCCAACATTTCTCATCATTGCTATACCACAAGCAACTATGGCCTTAAATATATCAAATTAGTAGCTCTAACCCTACCTTCTTCCTTATCTACTAATTTATTGTATTTAATACTTTGTGTTATTTAAAGTAATACAGCATTTATAGCAAGGTTTCAACTGGGTGCATTCTTGGCCAGTTTATTCTGTGTTTTTAAAAAACCTGAAGCATGCTGCTACCAGGCTGATTTTGCCAGGCATTTTATTAATATCTGGTCATTGTTTTATTGTTGGTGCTTATTAAACCAAGATGACAGGACTTTAGGGTCATGCTTTTTCTTTTTTTGCTAAGCAAAGTTCTTTGTTACTGATTCAGATAGCAATTCTAAATGCCATGTGAACTTGGGACAATATATGTAAGAATTATTATCTCACTTAAGGTACTAGGAGCTCTTTTTCTCTTTCTTATTTGTTTTCAACTTTTTAAGTTCTGGGGTACATGTGCAGGATGTGCAGGTTTGTTACACTGACAAATGTGTGCCATGGTGGTTTGTTGCACAGATCAACCCATCCCCTAGGTATTAAGCCCAGCATCTACAACTATTCTTCCTGATGCTCTCCCTTTGCCCGATCCTCACCCCCACCCCCTGACAGGCCCCAGTGTGTGTTATTCCCCACCATGTGTCCATCCGTTCTCATTGTTCAGCTCCTACTTATGAGTGAGACCCTGCGGTGTTTAGTTTTCTGTTCCTGCACTGGTTTGCTCAGGATGCTGGCTTCCATCTCCATCTGTGTCCCTGCGAAGGACATGATCTCATTCCTTTTTATGGCTGCATAGTATTCCATGGTGTATGTGTACCACATTTTCTTTATCCAGTCTATCATTGATTGGCATTTAGGTTGATTCCATGTCTTTGCTATTGTGAATTGTGTCACAATAAACATACATGTGTATGTGTCTTTGTAGTAGAATGATCTTCCTTTGGGTATATACCCAGTAATGGGATTGCTGGATCAAATGGTATTTCTACTTCTAGATCTTTGAGGAATCACCACACTGTCTTTCACAGTAGTTGAACTAATTTACAATCCCACCAACAGTATAAAAGCATTCCTTTTTCTCCACAGCCTCTCCAGCATCTATTGTTTTCCGACTTTTTAATAGTCGCCATTCTGGTTGGTATGAGATGGTATCTCATTGTGGTTTTGATTTGCATTTTTTTAATGATCAGTGATGTTGAGTTTTTTTTTTATATGTTGGCCCTATGAATGTCTTCTTTTGAGAAGTGTCTGTTCATGTCTTTTGACCGCTTTTTAATAGCGTTGTTTTTTCTTGTAAATTAGTTTAAGTTCCTTGTAGACTGGATGTTAGACTTTTGTCAGATGGATGGATTGTACAATTTTTCACCCATTCTGTAGGTTGTCTGTTCACTCTGCTGATAGTTTCCTTTGCTCTGCAGAAGCTCTTTAGTTTAATTAGATCTAATTTATCAATTTTGGCTTTTGGCATTTTTTCATGAAATCTTTGCCCATGCCTATATCCTGAATGGTATTACCTAGGTTTTCTTCTGCGGTTTTTATAGTTTTGGATTTTACATTTAAAGGACCATACTTTTCTAATTGGAGAAGTTAGGATTGATTAGCTTTAGTTTTTCTGCCCATTAATATGAGATGTTGGGTATGGGGGAACAAACAGTTGGAAAAGAGAATTTGTAATTATTTTAGTGCCAAAAGATTATAAAGGAGACTTAAAAAATACAAGAAAATGCTCTTAATCCCAATGCCTGGAAATAATCCCTATTCACATTTTGATATATTTTCATCTTACTTTTTTATATGAAATTGGGGTTATATTGTATATACAGCTTTGCTTTATAACTTATTTTTATCACTTATTTGTCCAAGCTTCCCCATCTTATCACATATATTCTTTTAGAACTTTTTTTTTTTTTTTTTTTT